ACACACACACACACACACACACACACACACACACACATATATATATATAGCTAACTGTGCAGGCAGTGGCCCTCCAGAAGAAGGATTAGACACCCCTAATGTAAGTGATGTGTACAGTATAAGTTTTTGTCTGCACATGTGTGGACTTGTGGACACGTGAGCGTTACATAGAGAGGAACAACCTTGTAGAGGGAGGGGACATCTTTATTCATTGATCAGTAAAACAATTTGCTCAATGAATGAGCAACGTCCTCTACAATAAACATCAGCATCATCATCCAAAGTCTACAATAGCAATTTAGCAGCAACATGTTAACATGGGGGAAACAGAGTGGTAACAAAGTAGTATCATTTAGAAAAAAAGTCACAGTTTTTCTTTCTATCTGTATCATTAAAAAGGATTTGCAAGGAGGATATTTTAAAAAGAGGTTTATTGACAGCTATGCACGCTACTGTTATTTCTTTCTTTTCTTTTTTTTTTAACTATGGCATGTGCTCTATACAGAATACATGGGGAAATTTTAACTATACATTTAAACTCTAATATAAAGCACATCTGTGTCACCATACAAATTTTTAGGAGATTCAACAAAAATATACAATGTTTTCACTTCACATTTGAAGATTTATAACACCACTAAGTTTTTTTTTCTCTTGTTTTTCTTTTTTTTTATGGTAAATACAACAGTCCCATTGGTCAAACCAACCAAATGAAGGAGACACAACGTTAGTTACTCTACTCAGTAAGCTATGAGTGATTTAAATTGGTAAAAGGACGAATATAAATTAATATATATTAAGAAATTCCAACTGTAACTCCAGGGAAATGAAGGGCTATACCGAGTATAAGTATGTGACAGTATTTTTGATACAATAAATACACATGGTTTATAATGTGAATCGGAAGAGAGTGTGTGTGTGTGTGTGCGCACGCATACTGGAAGAGATCATGTGTGTACACTTAGTGGCTGAGTTGTGTTTGTGTGTGTGAACGAATAGGAGCAGCTATGATAGTGTGTGTTTGTGTTGTACACTGTAAGGAAGCAGGAGGGGAGACCTCCACTATCAGCGAATCCGCTCATAGTCTCCATAGAGATACTATATCTCACCTTCACAAAGTCCAGGTGAAATGAGTTACGGCAGTCCAGAAAACCACATAAAAGAATGGCACAAAGTAAGACACAAAAAAGTGAAATGTGTCAACGGTGTTTGCTTTCCATTCTGGTCTGAGGTGATTTTGCCAAGGAAAAAAAATGTCACAGTACCTAAAATGATGGCAAAAAAAAAAATCTAAAATCAATTTTTTGTCTTTTTTTCTCCGCTTCTTAATAAAAAATAGGTTTGTTCTTTATCTTACAGTAATCCATTATCTCCTTTGAAGGAAAAGACATTAGTCCAACACTGACAAAAAAGGTCAAACAAAACAGGAGACTTCAAAAGAGGGGGGTGTGAGGATGTATTTCTTCTTTTTCGTTTTTAGGATGGACATTTTGTGCAGCCACACTTGACGACCTTTTCCACCTCCTGTACAAAAGAGGATCCGTCTGTGCATTGGAAGGTGTATTTCCTTCGTTTGCTGCGGAGGGGGGCGCAGCAGGAGGTCCCGTCCCCGCAGCTGCCCCGACACTCTAAACGGGAGACCTTCTCTGTGCTTTGGCACGCTGCGTAGCCCTGCTGCGTCTGATAGTGATCTCGGACCCGTTCCCCCCGACACGCCATCTCTACAAAGAGAACAAAAAATCACTATATAGAGCACTGCAGTATGTTGCATATATAGCATGTTACATTTAGCATATCAATCATGATTTTTTTCCATTATATTTTTACTGTGAAGTTGAAAGGTGACTCCTAAGAAAATACAAAGAGTGAAAGCAGGAAAAAAGGAGTAAAGGAGGGAGGAGGAAGGAGGAAGGAGTGAAGATGGCTGTGGGGGCTGCAGAGTTTTATTAGTGATTAAAGGAGGAAAGACATTTATAGGAATAGTATAAAACACCCAAAAATTAACATTTCTTTGACGTTTACTCACCCTCAGGTTATCCAACATGTAGATGAGTTTGTTTCTTCATGGAAACATATTTGGAGAAATTTAGCATTACATCAATTGCTCACCAATGGATCATATGCAGTGAATGGGTGCCGTCAGTTCAAACAGCTGATAAAAACATCACAATAACCCACAAGTAAATTACATGAACCCAGTACATCAATTATCTTGTGCACGTTTATAAGAAACAAATTCATCAGGGCATTTTAACTTTAACCTGTTTATAATAGAGTCCATAATAAATCCATAATAACGTTTCCTCGGTGGAAAAAATCCATCCCCTGTCTTAATCTCACATCAAAATAAACCATAAACCATATTTGTTTAGAACTGTTTTGGACTGGTTTCACTTGTAAACAGAGCTTGATCTGTCCATACTTCTCTCTTTATTCAGACAAGATGACTTGTTCACTGAAGAAAGCAATATTATAGATAGGGGACTCATATTTTACCTGGAAGCAAGCAACGGCTCAAAGTTTAAAACATCTTAATGATAGATTTGTTTATTAAAAACATGCAGCTTTTGACTTCACATGATGTTAATATATAGACTAGTGTTGTGTGGATTACTTGTGAATTATTGTGAAGTTTTTATCGGCTGTTTGGACTCTCATTCTGACGGCACCCATTCACTGAGGATCCATTGGTGAGCAATAATGCTAAATTTCTACAAATCTGTTCTGATGACGAAACAAATTAATCTACATCTTGGATGGCCTGAGGGTGAGTACATTTTCAGCAATTTTTCATTATTGGGTGAACTATTCCTTAAAGATAAACACAGACACACAACATGCATCCCTCACCTGGCGGACCTGAGTGGGGTCCATACCGCTTTCAGTAGCAGCTTGAAGGTTACAGGAAGGTTAATAAAAAATAGGTTTGTTCTTTATCTTACAGTAATCCATTATCTCCTTTGAAGGAAAAGACATTAGTCCAACACTGACAAAAAAGGTCAAACAAAACAGGAGACTTCAAAAGAGGGGGGTGTGAGGATGTATTTCTTCTTTTTCGTTTTTAGGATGGACATTTTGTGCAGCCACACTTGACGACCTTTTCCACCTCCTGTACAAAAGAGGATCCGTCTGTGCATTGGAAGGTGTATTTCCTTCGTTTGCTGCGGAGGGGGGCGCAGCAGGAGGTCCCGTCCCCGCAGCTGCCCCGACACTCTAAACGGGAGACCTTCTCTGTGCTTTGGCACGCTGCGTAGCCCTGCTGCGTCTGATAGTGATCTCGGACCCGTTCCCCCCGACACGCCATCTCTACAAAGAGAACAAAAAATCACTATATAGAGCACTGCAGTATGTTGCATATATAGCATGTTACATTTAGCATATCAATCATGATTTTTTTCCATTATATTTTTACTGTGAAGTTGAAAGGTGACTCCTAAGAAAATACAAAGAGTGAAAGCAGGAAAAAAGGAGTAAAGGAGGGAGGAGGAAGGAGGAAGGAGTGAAGATGGCTGTGGGGGCTGCAGAGTTTTATTAGTGATTAAAGGAGGAAAGACATTTATAGGAATAGTATAAAACACCCAAAAATTAACATTTCTTTGACGTTTACTCACCCTCAGGTTATCCAACATGTAGATGAGTTTGTTTCTTCATGGAAACATATTTGGAGAAATTTAGCATTACATCAATTGCTCACCAATGGATCATATGCAGTGAATGGGTGCCGTCAGTTCAAACAGCTGATAAAAACATCACAATAACCCACAAGTAAATTACATGAACCCAGTACATCAATTATCTTGTGCACGTTTATAAGAAACAAATTCATCAGGGCATTTTAACTTTAACCTGTTTATAATAGAGTCCATAATAAATCCATAATAACGTTTCCTCGGTGGAAAAAATCCATCCCCTGTCTTAATCTCACATCAAAATAAACCATAAACCATATTTGTTTAGAACTGTTTTGGACTGGTTTCACTTGTAAACAGAGCTTGATCTGTCCATACTTCTCTCTTTATTCAGACAAGATGACTTGTTCACTGAAGAAAGCAATATTATAGATAGGGGACTCATATTTTACCTGGAAGCAAGCAACGGCTCAAAGTTTAAAACATCTTAATGATAGATTTGTTTATTAAAAACATGCAGCTTTTGACTTCACATGATGTTAATATATAGACTAGTGTTGTGTGGATTACTTGTGAATTATTGTGAAGTTTTTATCGGCTGTTTGGACTCTCATTCTGACGGCACCCATTCACTGAGGATCCATTGGTGAGCAATAATGCTAAATTTCTACAAATCTGTTCTGATGACGAAACAAATTAATCTACATCTTGGATGGCCTGAGGGTGAGTACATTTTCAGCAATTTTTCATTATTGGGTGAACTATTCCTTAAAGATAAACACAGACACACAACATGCATCCCTCACCTGGCGGACCTGAGTGGGGTCCATACCGCTTTCAGTAGCAGCTTGAAGGTTACAGGAAGGTTAAAAATTAATGTTAGTAAAATAGCAATAATAATAGCGCAAGATTAGCTTCTTACAGGGTTAGCACTTCAACATCAACAGCAAGCTACACAGAAGTTTAGAACGAAAACACCTGCATTAAAGACATTTTTGACACATGCAAGCACAAGTTACAGTAGAGGTGAGTAAATAAGTATTGACCTTGCATAAAACATGAAATGCATCACCACAAAATAAAAATGAGAAGGTTATCAGTCTGTTTCTTGAAATTGTGAGAGAATGTAGCTTAAATGCCTGGTAAGTGGACGTTTAATATGTTCTTTTCTGAGGTTGATTTTGATTTAAAAATACAATTTAAATCAAGGTAGGGGTACATTTAGGGTTCAAGGTACAGATATTGCAATTCTGGATATGACATTAAACCTACAATTATACATTATTATCAGCCAATAATAATGTTATGTCCCATAACCGATAAATCACCATATTTAAATTCTATACTATGTTGTCCATACAAATTAAAAATAAAACACTAAAAACTAAAGCCTGCATTTAAGCATCACAACATCAAAATGTGCAACATGAAACTGTGCATGCATTTGAGATTTGGCTAAAGATTACATTTAAAAATGTTATTAAATTACGGCAAGGAAATCTAAAAATAAAAATGGAGGAAATGAGCAGTTAAATATCCAATATCGAACAATGGAATGGAAATGAAACAATGGGAAAAAATATGATCCCAGTATATATTGTGCATCCCTAGGTAACATTTCTGTTGGTTGATTTAAATGTTCATGGAACATTTAGAGATTTTGTTTGAATTGATTTATTTATTAGTCTTGTCTGTATTGAAGAAAATAACTCCCTTCCAGTGTTAATTAGTGTTAATTCACTTGGAAATGGCATTGATATGTATATGCAAAAATGCACGTGTAGTCAGATTTTTCTGATGAGATCAGGTTTTATATAAAGGGTGGATGCACCCAGCCGTACCTCTATCGCAGCTTGGCCCTGTGTAGCCACTGTTGCACTCACAGTAGGCCTTCCCCAGCCCAGACACACGACAGCGCCCGTGTTTACACGCTATGTACTGACAGGGACTCAGCTGCTCCTCTTCATCGCATAATACACCTGCAAAGCCTGGATGACAGCGACAGCTGTACGAGTATGAGTTTATGGGCAGACAGGAGCCGTGGATACACCTGAGAGACAGACACACACATAAAAAACACTTTCATGAGGTGATCATTCTTATATAATGAAACCAATGTGTGTACTTTTGAGTCTCTTACTTGTTCCCGTCACATGGGTTGTTGATCTGCTGGTCACAAAGCGGGCCGGTCCATCCTGCCTCACACTCACAGCTGAAGGAGGACTGTCCAGTAGCATGGCACTGCCCATGAGCGCACACACTCCGCTGGCAGGGCTGGCAGCCGGGCACCACCCCCTCCTGCAGCAGGAACTGGGTGAGGTCCTGGAGCTGGTCGTTAATGTAGAGGTTTCGGATACAGCCGTGGAAACTCGAGCCGTTCCTCCCGGAGGAACGCAACGAGGCCAGTCCAGACTGTTGAGGAATTCCTGAAGAGAGAGTGGTTTATTATATTGACATTATACGCAATGACCATTTTTTTTTCAATTAGCAGGTGTGTTTGACATACCACCGAGATAAAGTGGAGCAGGGCTGGGTACTGGGCTGGGGCTGCTGGCAGTGTTGATGGATTTGGGGCTTCCTCCATCAATGGAGAGAGACAGAGACTGATCCTTTGCCACCAGTTCCACTACATGAAAACTGCCATCATTTATAGTCTCAACACTAGAGAGAGAGCAGAAGTGAACAGTGAGGATAATACCTGCAGACAGTATTTTAGTTCAGCTATTGACTGTCATAAACAAGAGAAAGGCTTTAAATTGATTAGACATCAAAGGAATAAAGGCATGGATTTTCATCATTACTATTGAAAAACAAGCTTTTTATAGGAGGTCTGTGACCCTAACTCCAACCCTTTGCCAATTATTTTTGAAAATAAGACAAAAAGGCGGTTTGGAAGATGAATTCATGATGTACTCGCTCATTATATACATTTTGCAAATTTTGAACACAGAAAAAGTTACATAGTGCTGCTTTAATATTGCAACATTACATCTGTCTATCACTTTTTATTAATTAAATGAACGAAAACACCTGCATTAAAGACATTTTTGACACATGCAAGCACAAGTTACAGTAGAGGTGAGTAAATAAGTATTGACCCTGAATAAAATAATTAATTTACTTTTAAAATATCTTACTCAACTTTTAAACATTAGAGTGGGTATATAAAGTCTGTAAATATAATTTACTATATTGAAAAAAGCAAAGATAAAGAAAACAATGTTATGTCCTGATTTAGATATAGCTTATTACAAAATGGATAGTTCCAACTCTAAATTGCGATTGGATAAGTCATTTTTAGTGCTGTAAATGTGTTGTAAAATGACACCAGTATAAGCGTGTGTGCACCTGTAGATGGCAGATGGGGGGTAGGATCCCGAGTCATAACTGACTCTCAGTCGGCCTCTGTAGAGCTCCACCGCAATGTGTTCATTATCACCTTTATACAGCAGCACTCCATTATCCTCATCTGTGGCAATCTAGGACATGCATACAGGACACATGAGTATGCTTAAATGCATAACTGATGAAGAATTAGCTTGATCTCTCACTATTACTCGAGTGATGTACCTGTAGTGATATATTGGCCTGTTCTGTGATGAGGTTGGAGGGGATCTGCAAGAACGATTCTCTGTTGATGAAATTGACACTGACCAGCTTCTCACAGTTCACGCCTTCATAACCATGGAGACACTGACACACAGGATCCGTGTCCTTGACAACGCACTGTGCACCGTTGGCACAGTCATAGTGGTCACATGGACTTGTTCTCGGCAGGACCATTGGAGGGGAGAACTCACAGAACAACCCACTGCACACACACACACACACACACACAGAGTGAGATACGTATTTCACATGTTGAACTCCGATGATCTTTTATTGATGAATGTAGTGTTTTTTTGTATTTCTGCTCACCTGTACTCTTCTGGACATACACACGTGTAGCCATTCACAGCATCAGTACACTGAGCCCCGTTTTTACACTTGTTATCTTCACAATCATCAAAATCCACCTCACAGTGTTCCCCGGTATAACCTGGAGTACACTCACACCTTCACAAACACACACACACACACACACACACACAAAATCATCACATTTAACATTTAAAACTCACACTGTCATTTTTAACACTGATAAATATCAGAAAGATTCCATGAAATAGCTTGACAAGCACAGTTCTCGTTCTCTCTCTAATGCATTTCATATTGAAACAGACATGAATCATAATTTCATACTGGGGTACAGGGACCCCCAGGGGGGCCCAAAGAAGGTCCAAGTCGGGTCTACAGAAAAATGTATTGAAATAGTGTAGAAAAAAGGAAAAAAGTTTACGTTTGCATAATTTGACTTTCATTGTGCATTTCATATTTTAACAAGAAGAGAAAAGATTTCTCTTCCTCCGCAACTTTTAAGAACAATTTGTGTTTTTGTTGTTTATTTTTGGGAGGTTACGTCATATCACTTTCACCTTTGGGTTGTACAGCATAATTTGATGAACAATATTTATTGAAGAAAAAAATATTATATTATAAATATATATTATATTATAAATAGTGCTAAGATAATATAAAAACCAAATAATTATATATATATATGAAAGTAAAATTATGCAAACTTAAACTTATTTTTTGCTTAAATATATAGATATAATATACTGTATAAATATATATTTTAAAGCATACAGGTGCATCTCAATAAATTAGAATGTCGTGGAAAAGTTCATTTATTTCAGTAATTCAACTCAAATTGTGAAACTCGTGTATTAAATAAATTCAATGCACACAGACTGAAGTAGTTTAAGTCTTTGGTTCTTTTAATTGTGATGATTTTGGCTCACATTTAACAAAAACCCACCAATTCACTATCTCAACAAATGAGAATATGGTGACATGCCAATCAAAACTTTTTTAGTGAATTGTTGGCCTTCTGGAAAGTATGTTTATTTATTGTACATGTACTCAATACTTGGTAGGGGCTCCTTTTGCTTTAATTACTGCCTCAATTCGGCGTGGCATGGAGGTAATCAGTTTGTGGCACTGCTGAGGTGGTATGGAAGCCCAGGTATCTTTGACAGTGGCCTTCAGCTCATTTTCCTCTTGACAATACCCCATAGAATCTCTATGGGGTTCAGGTCTGGTGAGTTTGCTGGCCAGTCAAGCACACCAACACCATCATTTAACCAACGTTTGGTGCTTTTGGCAGTGTGGGCAGGTGCCAAATCCTGCTGGAAAATGAAATCAGCATCTTCAAAAAGCTGGTCAGCAGAAGGAAGCATGAAGTGCTCCAAAATGTCTTGAAACTACTTCAGTCTGTGTGCACTGAATTTATTTAATACTCGAGTTTCACAATTTGAGTTGAATTACTGAAATAAATGAACTTTTCCACGACATTCTAATTTATTGAGATGCACCTGTTTATATAAATACAGCTGCATAAACCGCACTAGCATTCTGTCTCAAAATCAATATATGCTAACTAAAAACCACCAAAAATACTCTAAATAAACATAAGTCAAAATGCAGAGGCCATATGTAAAATAATATTAATAATAATAATTCAAAGAAATCTTAACATAAGACCCATTTAACTTGGTTTGAGGTCTAAATTTGTTGTAGGTTCATTGGTGTGGTTGGGGTCATCCTGCATCTTTTTTTAATAATAATATTTATGAACAGTGAAATCTATTGTGTTCTGAGATTAGACCTCTCTAATTACAAAAGTTTTAGTTACATAAACCACTGAAATGTAAGTTCTTTTTTATGAATTTAAATTTACTATAAAGTGCTACATAAACACATTCATCATCCCATCGTATCGCACCATATCATCTTTAAAACACCCCCCTCCAACTCATTTTTATAGTAAACCCAACGGGAGAGCTGTAATGGAATATCAGAACACAAACACAGAGCAGAACCTCAGAGACTCCAGCTGCATTCCATACAGCTCTAGTGTTGTGTTAACATCTGCAGCAATGGGCATAAAAACACACAAATGAACTTATGTGGTCTGCTTCTCACACATATCAACAGAGAAGGAAACACACACATACTGTACACATCTGATGGTTTCTAACGCAACGATTGATTTGGTCTGGTGGAGAGCGGAATGAAATAAAAGTCGAGATGAGAGAGAAAAGGGGACGTCTGGAGGGGAGAGAGTGATGAAACTGAATCCAAACAGGGTTTGGATCCAACAGACTTGAGTGACTGCAGAAGGGCAATTTTATAGGGACGGATTTAAATGTCCCGTTTAAAGACATGTTCATATAGGAGTTAGTACAGAACAAATGCACTGGAGTCAGAGAAGTATGCTGAGATTTTGTCACGACTGGTCTCACAGAGCCATAATATACAGTAAATTATACAAATATAGTACTGTTCAAAGGTTTGGGGTCAGCTATAATTTTGTGTTGTTTTTGAAACAAGTCTCTTTTGATGAACCAGGTTACATTTATTTGATCAAAAATACTAAAAATACAATATATTAAATATATTTCTGATTTAATCTGTTTTAAAATGCAATTTTCAGCAGCTATTGCTCCAGTCTTCATAGTCACATGATCCTTCAGAAATCATTCTAATATGCTGATTTGGTGCTGAAGAATCATTTCTTATTATAATCACTGATGAAAACAGCTATTATTTCTAAATGTTTCTAACTATTTTCATTTCTATTTGAGTTCAACATGTTAGTCTTTTTATCTTAATTATAATTTTATAAAGTGGTTCAGAATTTTTTTCTTTACATTTTTGATGCTATAAACTTTGTAAATCTAATGCCAAAAGCAGTCCAGCAACTTTTAAACGCAGCTTTGTTTTCAGATGGATGGATAAAAACCTGTGCATCTGTATTAGACAGAAAACCAGACAGTCTTGCCAATATGTTTCAGATGGTCAGTAAAGAAAGTGGATTCATAGTTTGAGGCTAACTACAGGTAGTGGGGATCTCAGTGACTTACATGAATCCTTTAGCGGTTAGAATACATTTTGAGTCGTGCTGACACAGGTTTAGCTCTGAAGTGCAGAAATCCAGCTTATCTTCACACAGCTCCCCTGCACACACACACACAAATATAGAGTAGGAGGGGTATGAATAATCAAAGAAGTGTTTACTGTAAGAAAACAAGACTCACATCCCATTAAACCAGCAGGAGTGTGTTTGCGTGTGTGTAGTATCTGATTAATCATCTTACAGTGGGGAAGATGACAAAATACCAATACTCTGAGGAACAACAATACAATACACCTCTACTGACAGTGGATCAGCCAGAGAAACATCAATGAGTGTGTGTGTGTTTCATACTTTCGCAGGCACAGAGGACCCACTAGCCAGAAACAGCAAAGGATAGAGACAGATAATGGTAGGATGAACTGAAAGTGAGTGAACTAACCTTTCTCCACCTCATTATTATTAGCAGCTAGTAGAAAAAGAGAAACAAGTAGCAAGAGAAAGACAGAAAAACAAAGAAATACAGAGGATGTGTTTGGCATGTTAGCTCAAGCAGCACATTAGCATGTTAGCATCAGACAGTTCAACACAAAGCACAGAGAACACAGAGCATTTAGCATGTGACTTTCCTTGTGTTTGTGTGTTACCTGTGTATTCAGGTGAACAGAGACAGGTGTAGTTGTTGATACCATCCACACACGTCGAGTTATTCTCACAGTCGTTGTCTTCACAGTCATCAATATTTATCTCACATTCGTCGCCTTCAAATCCATCTAGACAGACACACCTGAACATACACACATAATGGCTGTGTAAGACTTTTTAATTCTTTTGAAATGTTTATTTCAATCAGGAAAACTCTATGAGCAGTATTGTTATTCTATAATTGTCTATAATTGTTTGTTTCTATGTAAGGTCTACATGTCTCTCACAGTTTAATGTTCTACATATTACATTGCCTACATATGTTTCGGGTCCCTCCTTCAATTTTTTTTTACTATTTCTTCACAAAGGTGCTTAGAAATTATCATCACATCATCTCTTTTTTTGTTTTGGGGTCAGTAAAACTTTCTTGTGAAAGAATTCACTACCTTTATTTAGCAAGGATGCATTAAACTGCTCAAAAACAAAGACTTCTACATTGTTCCAAAAATATTTCATATAAATGATGTTCTTTTGAACACTGTATTCATTAAAGAGTCCTGAAAAAGATGTTTCAAAGTTTCCACAAAAATATAAGCAGCACAACTGTTTTCAACATTGATAAAAAATTATTGTTATGCACCAAATCAGCATGTTAGAGTGATTTCTGAAGCAACATGTGACACTGAACACTGGAGGAACTGCTGGAAATTCAGCTTTGCCATCACAGAAATATATTAGCAAATGCTAAGATAGAAAAAAGTTTATTTTACATTGTAATAATAGTATTATATCACATATAATACTATTATCTGTATCTATCTGTATCTCTGTATCTATCTGTATTTATGTTCTACTGTAGTGTTATCTGTATGCACCAAGGGTCTGAGAGTAACGCAATTTCAATTCTCTGTGTGTATGTGCTGTACATGTGGAAGAATTGACAATAAAGCAGACATGACATGACTTGACATTATTATTGTTTTTGCTGTATTTTTTAAATAAATGTAGCCTTGGTAGGGCATTACAAATATCTTTCAAAAACATTAAATCGTTCTGACCCCAAACTTTTGAACAGTAGTGCATGTATGTGTGAATAACATTAGATGTATCAGTTAGCATGTCATATTGGTGTGTGTAAGCATTACATATGTGTTTGGTTGAGCATTCAGTGCTATACACATATGTCTGACTACTTACATTAGTGCACTCAAGTTCCATGTGTGTGCGTGAGTGAAGATTTAAACCCTACGCAGTGCAGCATTCAACTAAGCTTGTTTAAATTCAAATTTAGTATTAGCGATTCATTTACATTTATGATTTATGATAATGCATTTATAAGTACATTACCAGGTTCCAAATTCACACCATTGTTTGAACCCAAGGTTGAGTGAATATTTTGAAAGCGCTACAGAGCTGCAGTGTTTTCACTCTTTGGGAAATTACCCTATGAATGACTTACTTATGGTTGTCTCTGCGCATTAAACTGGGATAGAAGAAATTATTTTATGCACTGTGCGTGTATGTCTGTGGGTGTATTACATTACAGTACCTAATCAACATGTAAAGCAGAAGTTCTCAAATGAAACTCTTCTCATTCACCAACACAAAGGATTCATTAGCATTGATCAGTATATGACTGCAGCTGAACCTGAGCTTATCCCACCACACACACACACACATTCGTCTTCGCTGTGTGTGTGTCCACAGAAAGGCCCTTGATTGGCTGATTAAGTGCATGAGTGAGCTCAGATCAGTTTCAGACACTTCAGTCTGATTAAGACAGATTAGACACACTCTGTCCATAAAGTATATTCATTACTGGAGCAACAGGGACACACACACACGCACACACATCTGAGCATTTACTTAATGTACTAAATGAAAGCCACATTCAACATGGCCTGAATACATTATTTCTTTATCGGTCTCATATACATTGTAATTTCAAAAGGTTTAGAATTTTGATGATGACGATGATCAAGGTCTGACTCACCAGTGAGTGTTCTCCTCTCCGTCCTTCAGATGACAGGTGCCTCCATTCTGACAGGGGTTACTGATACATGCATGAATTGGTTCCTCACAGTCTTGGCCCTATATGAACAAGCAGGTTGCATTACAAATCCACATCCACACATCAATCTTCCATACTTGCTTATCCCCACATACAAATGTTACTTTATACAGATGAGTGAACATGTACACGCATACAGATATTTCAGGGCATTCAAGGTTTAGAATAATTATTTTATATAGTCAGAGAGCAAGATGAAACTATATTTCTGAATTTTTGGAAGATAATTTGGATATGACTCCAGTCCCCCTTCTATCAGTTTTTTATGTATTTGCTATTTTATCTGCCTGTCATGTGAAAAGTCAGCTGTCTTCAAAAGTATTAGCGCTCCTTTCCTCAAACAAACCACACAATCCCATCTTGTACCAATTGGGCACAAATGGTGTAAAACAAGTTGTGGGTATGAAGTTTAATAGCTTAACACGACCACTGAGATGTCCTTGTTTGTGTTTAGGTGTGTTTGTACCTTAAAACCATATGGACAGGTGCATCTATAAAAATCGACAGGATGGTTACTGCAGGTTCCATCATTTTTGCAAGGGTTGGATAGACAAGGGTTACATTTTGCCAAAATGCTCACATCCACCAGACCTATGCAAAATGCAGAGGAAAAGAAGAAATTACACAGCATGTTATACACACAAACAGAAATTTAACAAATATACAAGCAAAGACTTACAAACACACATAGGATTGAACAGGTAAAGCATCGCAAAATTGGCTCACAACTAACACAAGTCACTTTCATCCTGAGGAAAGGTTGGGTGGCAGATACAGGGGGCTGGGTTTAGGAGCTCAGATTTGGCTCTTATTGACTTCCTTACCTGGCACAGGAAAACCACAAGTCCCCGGCACCTCTACAAATGTACCAATCAAATCACATTACTTACAATATTAATATCTGAGCATGTAAGCTAGTGTTAGAGTTAGTACTAATGCCCTCTCTGTGAATGGATGAGTGTGTCTAAAGTGCCCGGGTGGGTTTACCTGTGCATGTGAATTTCTTGGAGGGTGTAGTCAGCAGTAGTTTGTCGGTCATCTCTCCAGGACCGGTACACCGTGCAATTCCAGGCTCCTTGTAGCCGCTCTTTACCCAGTCAGAGAGCCACTGCATGTGACAATCACAGTACAGGGGGTTTGCTCCCAAAGCCCTGCAGGAAACACACACATTACACATCTTCTCCAAAAATTTGGATGATAAAATAATCAGTGATGCAAAAAGTAAAATGAAAGTGATATTAAACAGTGTGTGTATTGGCTCATTTTTCTAAAGTAACACCATCCAACAGTGACATTAGCGGATGACGTTTCATAGGGAGCTGCCATGTGTCAGATCGTTGAGTTCTAATAGAGCATGAGTTTAATGGGGGGTAGTTCCTCCATGCTGCTCTGATTGGCTGATTGCCCTGTCAATGCGGTAATGCCTTCCTATCACGTTCGCCAGTCCGCAAATCAGTCTCAGTGCATCAAACTTGTGGAAAAGAATAGTCTAATCTCACACACTTGAACATCACTACTTTTGGTCACGTTTATATCAATATTAACTTCATATGAAACACAAAATGGTATTTTAAAGGGTTTTTAGAGCCCTCAGAGCTGAATTAAACAGTTAGCAAAATAGGCTTTTTAGCAGGGCTGGGCAGTGTGACAATATATATTGTGGGGACATTTGTAGTTGTTAAGTGTCTATTGTTAAATATTTTGCTATATTGTTTATACAGCAAAATGTCAATAAATTCACAGTACGTAAATACTTTAAAGTGGTGAAACATGCATAAATAGCTATATATAAACAATGAACATTATGATATTGTTTTCTTGACAATCTCATGTGTACGGTAATCTGTAGATTTGTTTTACTCAGCTGTCCGTCATAATTACACTTGTGAAATGGATCCATGGGATTTATAAAAAAAAAGGTCATTGTGGGAGACCGAGAACTCACTGTGGCTGCAGAACCCTAAGTTCAGACAAAGAAAGTGTCTCAGTGTGTTTGTGTGAGAGTAAAAGAAAGAACCAAAGTACATCCAGCTGTCAAAACCTATTTGGTGCACTCATAAGTGCTTGTGTGTGTGTGTGTTCATTCTGAGGTACTTACAGGTGGGAGAGCGAGGACAGATCTTTGAAAGCTCCATCTGGGATCACAGCAATATCATTACCATGGAGAGACCTGCAGAGAGAAGAGAGAAATGAAGCCATCTAAGAAAGTCCAAAACACATAAATCAAAGTCTGATAGCAAACACACACACACACACACACACACACGCATATCAATGAGGTACTCACAACAGGCGCAGAGACTTGAGGCCATCGAAAGCTTTTACAGGAATACACCTCAGTCTGTTGTAGCTTAAAATTCTGTGATGAAACAAAAGATATTACAGTACTTGCTAAAACAGATTTACATAGAAGCATCAGGCCATAAAAATAAAAAAAACTGTGGATTTTGCAACTTTCAAAATAAATTACTGAAATAAAGTCAACAAGATAATCTAATTATTATATAAATATGTCTAAAATGATGCAGCAAAAAAAATGTCACCCCTGTATTCACACATACTGCATATACACTTTAGTGCACACATCATTTCAAGAAAAACAACACTGTTAAAATTCACACACACACACACACACACACACACACACACACACACACACACACACACACACACACACACACACACACACAAACA